TTCCAAGTGTACAGAGAAGTGTGGAGAAGAATATAACCCATGTCTCTGTGCCTATCTTCCACCTCTGACAAATTCTAACATTTTTCTGCATTTGATTCAGATTTTTAAAAATAAACAAAATGTCACACATATGGTTGAAGACCACTGTCTTATCCACTCCCAAGCTACGCCCAGCCCTCCTCCTCCGAAGGAGCAGTACCTATTCATGAACTTGATATTTACAGCATCCCTGTACATGTTTTTATATCTCTATTACCCACATCTGTGTGTACTCATAAAAAATAAAGTATCATTTTGCATGTTTAGAAACTTTACATAAATGGTATACCGTATACATCCTTCTGCAACTTGCTTTTTTCCTTCACTCAACATTGTTTCTGAGATTTCTCCACATTAATACATGTAGCTCTGATTCATTCATTTTAACAGCTGTATAATATTCAATTTTATGAAAACACCACAATTTGCTTATCTGTTCGTCTGTTCATAGACTTTCAGATTGTTTTCAGTTTTTTTTTAATTACAAACAAAGCTTCGGTGAGCATTCTTGTACATTTCCTCGGGCCCCCATGCTAGAGTTCCTCCAAGGTATACTGTATACTTAGGTGGGAAATTGCTAGGTCAAAGGATAGGTACAGCTTTAGAGTTACCGGACAGTGCCAAATAGCTTTACATCAATTTCGATCCCACTGGCAGTATATGGTAGGTCCCTGGGGGGCGCAAGTGGTTTGTGCTCGACTACTAACCGAAGGTTGGTGGTTTAAAATCACCCAGTGGAGGGGGAAGCCAGCACAACTTATACAAGGCAAGGTCATGGAAGCTCCACAGACATATCCAAACTTCTTGAGGGACCAAATTACTGGGCTGAGGGCCGTGGGGACCATGGTCTCCGGAAACATCTAGCTCAAATGGCATAAGACAGTTTATAAACAAAATGTTCTACATTCTACCTTCGTGAGTAGTGTCTGGGGTCCTAAAAGCCTGTGAGCGGCCGTCTAAGATACTCCACTGGTCAAACCCCTTTGGGAGCAAGGGAGAATGAAGAAAACTAAAGATACAAGGGAAAGACTAGTCCAAAGGACTTACGGACCACAACTACCACGGCCTCCACCAGACTGAGTCCAGTACAACTAGATGGTGCCTCGCTACCACCACTGACTGCTCTGACAAGGATCACAACAGACAGTCCCGGACAGAGCTGGAGAAAAATATAGAACAAAATTCTAACTCACAAAAAAAGACCAGACTTACTGGCCTGACAGAGACTGGAGAAACCCCAAGAGCATGGCCCCCGGACACTTTTTAGCTCAGTAATGAAGTCACTCCTGAGGCTCACCCTTCAGCCAAAGATTAGACAGGCCCATAAAACAAAACGAGACTAAAGGGGCACACCAGCCCAGGGGCAAGGAATAGAAGGCAGGAGGGGACAGGAAAGCTGGTAATGGGGAACCCAAAGTCAAGCAAGGAGAGTGTTGACATGTCGTGGGGTTGTTAACAATGTCATAAAACAATACGTGTACAAACTGTTTAATGAGAAGCTAGTTTGTTCTGTAAACCTTCATCTAAAGTACAATTTTAAAAAATTAAAGAAGAAAGGTCTGGCAATCCTCTTTTGTAAAGACTGTTGGTGTTATTGGGTGCCGTCAAGTCAATTTCAACTCACGACAACCCCACGTGACAGTGTAACTGCCCCATAGGGTTTTCTAGACTGTAATCTTTGAGGGAGCAGTTCGCCAGGTCTTTCTCCTGTGGAGCCGCTCTGTGGGTTTGAATTGCCAATCTTTCAGTGAGCAGCTGAGCGCTTAACCATTGTGCCATGAGGGCTCCTTATCGGAAAGATGACAGCCAAGAAAACCTTATGGAGCAATTCTACTCTGTAACACATAAGGGTGCTATGAGTCAAAATCAACTTGTTGGCAATGGATTTTGTTTTGGTTTTCTGGTAGTGTGTGCAAGCTCCCTTTAGTAGACATCCTGAGCAGCACATTCATTTCTGCCCATCTGACTGCTAATGGGTCTTGTCTTTAGGCCACAGTCGCACACACCAGCTCAGTTGATTCTCATAGCCACCCTGGGTGGAGGTGGTGCAGTTCTAATTCATGACCACCTGGCAGGAAGGCACCCTGAGGCCAGGGAGGGAACGATGGGCCCAGCGCAGCTGGAGCTGAGGCCAGGAGTCTTGGATCCCAGGCAGTCTTCACCTCATGGAGACTGTGTACATGGCTAGAATGCAAACTCTGCATTCTCATTTCGAGAATAAAAGTTTTCAAATAATCTCTACTATATGGTAAATGTCAACTCTCTATGATTTTAGGGAGCTTGTTATTTCACAAAACACTTTTGCATCCATTTCTCATTTGATCCTGACAATAAACACATAAGAGAGACTTGGAATGCTACTATTCCCGCTTCACAGATAAGGACGGCGAGGCTCATGGCTAGTAAGTGGCAGATTGGAACTTGAACCTATTTGCCTCTGATATTGTCGGTAGGTACACTTGGAGATGGGGGTCTGATGGTTGGGAATTCTCAGTGTGAACTGTAAACATGTGCGAGTCTGTGCCATCTCTCTTGGCCCTGTGCACAAGTTCTCCTGGAACTGAGGTCACATTACAAACTAGGAGCAGTACCCCTCTCATGATGACGCCAGGTCCCAGCTTTTGTCTACCTAGATCAGACTGTCTGCAATAATATCTTGGATCTACCACCTAAGAGAGGCATCCCTGAGTGGCACAAAATTACTTGCTGAATGACTAACCTAAAGGTTGGTGATTCAAACCCACCCAGAGGTGCCTCAGAAGACAGGCCTGGCAATCTGCATCCAAAAGATCACAGCAGTTCTACTCTGCACAGAGGGGGTTGCCATGAGTCAGAATCGACTTGACGGCAACCAACAACCCCCTAAGAGGCCTGTGATCTTAGGCAAGTTACTTCTTCTCTGTGCCTCAGTCTTCTCATCTGTAACATGGGGATAATAGCACCTACCTCCCAGTGAAGACTGACTGAGGTAACACATGTAAGTAAAATGCTTGGCACACAGAAAACACGCAAATGTTAACACTTATGATTAAGACTATGATTGTGACTTCTCGTTCCCCACAGGAGTGGTGGTCATGGTGACGAGGAAAACACCAAGGGCTGGCCTCAGCAAAGCAGAAGTCACAGATTCTGGGATTCAGCCATCGCAGAGGGTAAGGAGGCCTCTATTCTGGAGATGCTGGCTGGTGGTGCCCAAGCACAGGACCAGAGGAACCACAGCCAGTGGTAGGCAGTGACCCTGCAGGAACTTCTACCAGGTTGCTTGAAGGGCCCTTGAGAGTCCACGTCTCTTTTTTCTCACAGCTGGAAAAATCTTAAAGGATTATAGCCTGAGCATTTCTTGGGTTCTGGCCACAGCTGAGAGTGAGCAGCCAGGCCCTGCTTTGCAGGCAGGGCTCAGCAGGGGCCCACACCAACTGTATTCGGTGGTGGGAACCTGTGATGAGTAAGTACAGGACCAGGGGTGTATTACTGACCCCTTCTCAATGTCAGTCTGTCCTAGAAAGCCTCACACCGGATTTGAGGATTTGAGAAGCAATCCTGACACAAAGCCTGACACAAAGCCTGATGCAAAGCCTTGTTCCCAACAAGCAGTTATCTAGCCCCAGGGGTGGAGAAGAAAGAACACGGGATTGGAAGGCAGGAGAATTGGGCTCAACTCCCAGTTCTGCCTCTTTTTAGCTGGATGAACTTTAACCTTTGCAAGCCTCAGTTTACAAAACTATGAAATGGAGCTAAAAACACCTACCCCACCTACCTCATACAGCTGTCAAATAAGATAATGTGTGAAAATGCCTTGGGGACCGTCAAGTGCCAAATAAATGGCAGCGATTGTGTGTCTGGCATTCAGCTGTTCTTGCCTCATGGGGGGTGGTTTCTGGCTGTGGGGTGGAGGCGATGAGTCATCACCCCCTCTCCCTGGGCCAGGCACACATTTGCCGGATGCCTGGTTTACTCCATGATCATGGAACATAGTGGAGCACTTTCCAGCCCTCCCAGTAAGTAAATCTGTAACCAAGGCCTCAGGCTTCCCGTTCTGATCTGCTGAGACATTCAACCACAGGGACAATCACAGTCAGCTGATGACGGGTTGGGAGTCATGGGCCTTTGGAGGTAGCTCTGTCTCTTGTTAGCTGGGGCCTTGGACAAGTCACTTAACCTTTCCAGGTCTCAGTTAAGTGGCTTGTAAAATGAGACTAATAATGCCTATTTCATGCTGCAGTAAATGAGACCATATATGCTTGTCACGTAATAAATCTGTAAGAAACGATGGCTGCAAGTTTAATCTCCCTGGGCCTCTAATTCTCCACCTGTGAAATGGGGACAATTGCTGCTCCTTGTGAAAATGAAATGAGGCAGTGAATGGAGAAGCACAGGGCTTGGCTCATAACTGTAAGGTCCTTGAGGTCAGGGCCCGAGCGTGTTTAATTCCGCAGTGAATACTTAGCGCCTTGTACAGGACCTGGCGCACATGATAAGCCCAAACCAAACCCGATGCCGTTGAGTTGATTCCCACTCATGGCAACCCCATGTGTTACAGAGTAGAATTGCTCCGTAGGGTTTTCTTGGTTGTAATCTTTATGAAAGCAGATTGCCAGGCTTTTCTTCCATGGCACTGCTGGGTGGGTTCGAACTGCCAACCTTTAGTTTAGTAGTCAAGTGCAAACTGTTTGTGCCACCCAGGGACCTTACACACATGGCAAGTACTCAGTAAACGTTAGTGGAATGAATGAATGAAGTACTGTGAAAATGGTAACTGCAGATTTCTTTAACTTCTCTGAGCCTCGGCTTCCTCATCTGTAAAATGGGCATATTAATACTTACCTGGGAGGGCTGTTATGAAAACTAAGGGCCTACAGCAGGTGCTCCAAAACTTCTCCAACACTGCAGACTGGGAAGCCCACTGAGCATGCCTTGCACCCCCATGCCCTAGGCAGACATCACAAGAGGCAGCAAAGGGGGTAAGTAAGAGTAACGTTTACTGAGCGATACAGGACTGAGTACTATGAAGGGTTTACAAGGATGGAAATGCGCCCCACCCCCGCCCCGGCCACCCCGACACCCAGAGACTACAGTACTTAGGATTACACACAACGGCCGTAACTGGTGGATACCTGTTCGTAACAAACAAACCACAGCATATTTATACCGTATCACATCGAGTGATTATAGAAATCCATATATATATCGCTTGTATAAAATCTTTTTTTGTAAAAAATATTTAAAAAAAAAGAAAGTATAAAAAACATGTGCAGTTGAAAGCACTGCCAGGACAGCCAGTCTGTAAACATTCGAGTGAGTATGTGCTTTGGAAGGGCGCCCGCGCCTCGTGCCCGCAGCAAACTCCAGCAGGGTCGGTGAGAGTGCGCCCAGGGCTGCGGCCTCCTGGTCGGGCAGAGCTGGGCGGGTGCGGCAGGGCCCCGCCTCACCCCAGCTTTGCGTCAGGGTCGGGGGTCAGGGCTGGGGGCAGGCATATTACAGTTTCACTCTGCGTTCCGTCCCCAGCTGCATTTTGGTTCCAACACATGGCTTTTCCTGGCTGCTCAGAGGTCCCTCGGGTGGGTGTCCCGGCGGTGGAGAGGCCGGAGAAGTGCCTGGTGGGGCGTTTCTCGGCCCAGGGGGCACCTCCATCCTGCCTCCTCCAAGCTGGGTCCCAGGCAGGACAGCTCCACCGGTGGGGTGACTTTGGTCTCAGCGCTTGCTCCCCCTAGATGTCCTCAGCCTGCCCTTCCCCTTGTTGGCTGATCTGAGTTTCACAAAAAAGCCCGCCAATGCTGCCCATGCTGAGCCTCATTGTAAAGTTTGTCCCGCATCAAGGGAGGGCCTCTGGGGCCCCTCCTCGTCCTCTTTCTTTATCGCTCCTCCTCCTTCTCCCTGTCCTCCTCCCAGCCAATGTCACTTCTTCTCTAGCTGCTCCAGCAGCGGGTTGCCTTCCGACTCAGGGGTCTTGACACTGTCTGTCCGCACGATGCAGGTGGGCCGGTGCCGATTCAGCATCAGGATGAGCTGCTGCCGCTCCTGCTTCAGCTCCTCGATCTGGGTCTTCAGCTCCGCGTTCATGAGCTCCAACCGCTCAGACTCCTGTGTGCAAACGCAAAGACACGGCTTTAAGCTTCAGCAGGGACTGGCTCTAGGGTGGCTGGGGCAGGGCACTCCGGGCTGGCATTGCCTGTTTTCTCTCTGCCAGGTTCCAAATGGAAGCAGCACAGAACCTGCTATTGAGCCTGTGTTAGCTGACTTTCTGCGGGTGAGGCCCAACAGACCTGTGACACTGCCCATCACCTGCGACACTTCTCGTCACCAGTGCCATGAGCCTGGCTCACATCAGGGGCCAGCCTGCTCATCTTCTACCTCTCTGCTCTCTCAATCCACTCCAGCCACAGTGGCTTCCTTGCTGTTTCAAATATGCCAAGCACTCTCCTGCCTCAGGGCCTTTGCACCAGGAATAAAGGGCAGGAGAAGAATGGAGGCCAAGTGGATGGAGAGCAGGTGCATGGAGGTCCACGGAGACGTAACAGGAGGCCCGCGGAGGGCAGCATGATGGTAAAGTGCTCTGATATGTGATAAATGCAGGTAGGGATATTTTGGCCTATGGAATCAGCAAGCCCCGTGTGGTCACATAATTCCCCCTAAAATATGTACTTCTTGGCTCTTGCTGTTGTTGTGTGCCTTTGAGTTGATTCCAACTAACAGTGACCTTATAGGACAGAGCAGAACTGCCCCCATAGGCTTTCCTAGGCTGAAATCTTACAGGAGCAGATCGCTAGGTCTTTTCTCCCACTGGGTTCGAACTGCTGACCTTTCAGTTCGCAGCTGAGTGCTTAATTATTGCAGCATGAGGGCTCCTTTCCTGCTATTAGTCTATAATTATTTAAACAGCCTCTTCCTCATCCCCTGTAATCTCGAAGTTTCGCCCACTGGGAGGCAATTGACAACCAGCCTTCTGGGTCCAAAATGAGGTTTCAAACAGACCTCAAATGTGATTTCCAATGAGTGCCCAGCTCGTTTGGAGAGGCTGCAGGGAAAGGAAGGAATGCTGAAGATGTGAATGGGGGGTGGCTACATGTTCATAGTGTGGAGAGGTGGTAGGCATATCAATTCAAGCCTCAGGATCAAAGGGTAAACTAACAAAGCATTTGAACGATTTTTCCTGGACTGCATCTAAGAACTTATAACCAGTTTGAGAGCTAGATTTTATCCAAGGGCCAGTCAAGTTTGAGACCAGCAGTTCCCAACTGGGGGTGATTTTGCCCCCCAGGGGACATTTGACAATGTCTGAGACATTTTTGGTTGTCACAACTCAGGGGACAGTATTACTAGTGGTAGAGGTCAGGGGTACTGCTAAACATTCTGTAACACACAGGACAGCCCCCACAACAAAGAATTATCTAGTCCAAAATGTAAACAGTGCCACCGTTGAAAACCCTGTTTCAGACAGAGCAAGCTGTGGTTGGAACCCTGTGTCTGACTACTGGACAGCTTGGGACTGGCTTGGGAATATGAACACCCTCCACCTGGTAGAGCACAGGCTGAGCAGCCTCCCCCTGGGAATTCCAGGGCAGTGTGAGTCTCCAGGGAACTCTGTGGAACCCACACATGTCCCAGTGGCACCATCTTCCTCACACTAGCCAGTCTGACTGAATTGTTCTTTGTGCTCATCTGTGAGGTGGGAGTATGAGGCGCCTGAGGAACTCGGAACTGCTGAGATGTGCAGTCCTCGTGACCTGAGGCTGAGAGAGAACAGCTCTGAGCCTCTGAAAAGGAAAAAAGTGCTCAGGGGGAAAATATTAAAAACCGTCCATGGAGGTTTTTAGTTCAACGGGCTGAGGCATGATGGGGAAGCTGGCCTGGCCCACTGTTCTCTGAACTCTGAGACAAGTCCATCTCTGAGGGCAGGAGAGACCCCACATGACACAATCAGAGTCCATGACCCCTCAGCCTGGAGCAGTTAGATGCTAATCTGAGATGCCTGCTCACCAGGTCTGACTAGTTGGGTGACCTTGGGAACTTCTCACAAACCCACTGGCCATCCCATTCCCCAGAGCCATCCCATTCCCCACAGCTCCATCTTGGAATTCTCCTGAGCCTCTGCTTCTAGGAGTCCCAGTTCCGTCCATCCATCCACGAGAATTTGCTGAGGTTCTGCTGTGTACAACCAGTGCTCGGGGTAGGGGAAGAGATCCAGAGGCCCATGGACCCCCAGCGCGGCTCTCATGGACTTCTAGTCCAAGGGGAAGATGGAATCTACACGGCAAGACAGCATTTACAAAATGACTGTCAGGTGCCCAGGGTTTAGAAGGCCTTCCGAGAGGGCTAAATGGCGAGGTCTGATCTTGGGCTTGAAAGACAGGCTGACTCTGGTTGAGTAGAGAAGGTCAAGGAGGGAATTTTAGATAAGGAGTTCCCAGTGATCAAAGACATAGACATGGGAAAGCTTAAGATGTGTTTATGAGATTAAAAAATATATATATTCCGGTTTAACCACAGTTGACTTTAGAATATAGTAGGTTCCAAGGCTGGGAAGGTGGATTTAGAGCCAGATTGTAGCTCTGGGAAAGCTCATAGTCTAGGGCAAATTTCTTAACCTCTCTGAGCCTCAGTTGTCTTATCTGTAAAAGGGGATTATCATCAAATGGGACGTGAAGTCATATGGGAAAAGCCAAAGGGTTAGAGAGGCTTAAGGAGTTTGCACTTTAACCTAAGCAAGAGAATAGTATGAAGAAGGTGGAGAAGGAGGAGAGGCAGAGAGGGTTAATAATAAGGAACGGGGAGGAGCAAGAGAAGAAGACAACAGGCAATGCTTACTGAGCAAGACTACGTGCCAGGCAGACTCAATGTACTTCACATGTATTGACTTATCTGATCCTTACAATAACTTTATGAAGTTGATGCAATGACTCTCCCCGGTTTTCAGATGAAGCTTCTCTGGATAAAAAGGATGGGCTTGGGAGATGGGTCTGCAAGTGATGCTCAGGTGAAATAAAGCAGAGGTGAACCAGCCGAGAAGGGAGTTGAGAAAGGCCATTAGAGCGGGCACTGAAATGGGGTGGGGGTGGGGGCAGCTGGAATAAAGGCAGTAACGCAGGAGCCGACATTTTGAAAGAAAAACTGTCAGGTCTTGGTGGCTGCCTAGATTTGGAGAATGAAGGAGACCAGGAAGGGAGCTGACTGTGAGCCCAGGTGAAGGGTCCAAGAACGGAGCCTGGGAGGGGTAGGGGAAGCTGTTCTGGAGAATGGTGGGAAGGGCAAGGAAGGGATTTGGATTTAGGTACAGTGAGTTTGAAGTTAAAGCTGGACATACAGGAAGTGTCTGACGCACAGTACTCAACAGTACTGCATACATATCCACCTCCTTGAAACCACCACATGCCAAGCCATATATGTGAGAATCTGACAGTTCGAATTCACCCAGAGGCACCTTGGAAGAAAGGGCTTGTGACCTACTTCCAAAAGATCACAGCCATTGAAAACACTGTGGAGCACAGCTGTACTCTGAAATACATGGGGCTGGCATAAGTCAGAATCGGCTCGACAGGAACTGGTTTGTTTTTATGGTAGGTGTGGGGCAACTTGCTTTACATCTACATTTATGAGCTGAATGACATTGCATTCTGTTGATTTTAAACTGTTAGGGTACATCATGGAATAACAGTTTGAACTCGGACTGTCTGGCTGCCAGAATCTAACTGCTTTTTAGTTTTATTTCCTTCTATACTCAAAGAGTTATTGGTTGGTGCTACATATTTATTTATTGTGTACATATAAACTGAGTTCAGAAGAATCTTTTTTTAACCATGTTTGTAGAAGTGGTTTGTGGCTTTGCAACAGCAATTACCTGATCTGTTTCCTAATTAACTAAGGAACATGGGCTAGGTCACATTCACATGTTAATTATGAAGTGAATAATTCTGCTTACATTTCTGTTTATTGTTTGCCTACTGGTTGCTATTTATTGCCCTAGAGAAAATAAAACCACTCATCATCTTGGAAGAGATTAGTACAAGTGGCGGTTCTGCCCCCTATCCTGTGGGCAGCAAAGGAGTAGGAAAAAATGCAGGCTGAGGAGCTGGGCATCCTGGCTGTGTGACCTTGGCCAAGTCACTTCCCCTCTCTGGGCCTCAGTTTCCTCCCAGAAAATAAGATTGGTCCAGGGAACTTTAAGCATTAAGATTTTCTGACTTTATAAAGAAAGTTACTCTAGTGTACGTAAAGGAGTCCCTGGCTGGTACAAATGGTTAACATGCTTGGCTGCTAACAGAAAGGTTGGAGGTTCGAGTCTACCCAGAAGTACCTCAGAAGAAAGGCCTGGTGATCTAATTCCATAATAGTACAGCCATTGAAAACCCTGTGAAGTACAGTTCTACTCTGACACGCATGGAGTTGGCATGACTCAGAATTGACTTAATAGCAACTGGTATATATATGTATATTTCCTTTGTACCTCTGAACCTTGTAAATATTTTACCTATTAAAGAACCCCTACCCCCCGGGCCTGTGGGAGCTGACTATGACAGGGCCATCTGCACCAATGCCTTAAACCTCACAGCAGCCTTTGCTTCCAAGACCAGAGGAGAAGAAGGGGTGTAGGGGGTGAAGGGGGGGAGTAGGCAAAGACCCAGACAGACCTGCCCAAATCTCCCTCCCAGACCCAAAGCCACACACTGCTCTTCATCCTCACAGCTGCTTTGTCTCTCACTGGGACAACACAACAGCCATGTAACTGCTCTCCCTGCACCACTCTCGTGGCTCCAGTCCATGCCCCACGCTGCAGCCAGAGGGATCCTAAAACCCTCCTGTGGCTCTCCACGACCAGTAATTCATTAGTCTCACGGGGTCACTTGTGAGAGTCAAGGAGGGTGCTGTTACTAATTAGCACAACAGGCATAAACCGGGACTGTCACAGGCAACACGGCATATATGGTCTACCTATATGGGCCCTGCCTACCTCTTCAATCTGCCACTTGGATTCTAAACTCCGGCCACACTGACTTTCTTTTCAGTTCCTCAAACCCAGCCCTTCTCTTGCTTCTGGCCTTTGCTTGAACTGTTCCTGGTGGCCCCCTCCATCCCTGCCCTTCATCTTACTAGCTCCTACTCCTCCTTTTTGTCTCAATTTAAGCAACCCTTCCTCAGCCTAGACTCTGATAGGCCCCTTAGCTGTATGTGCTCACAGCCCGCTGGGCCGTCCAGTGTAACACTCAGCTCATTACTACTATTTGCTTCTGTCTGCCATCCCACTGCAGACCTAAATCTACTTATCCACAGTGGCACTCAATGAACATTTACTGAATGGACAGATGGATTAGCAAACAAATGAATGAGCCCCAGCTTCACCACTGGCTAGCAGTATGACCTTGGGCAAGTAACTTGACCTCTCCGAGCTTTGGGTCAATCTCTAAAACAAAGATAATCAATATTTATCTCACTGGAATTTTGTAAGGATGAAACAAGACATGTGAAATGCTCAGCATACAGTAGGTGCTCAGTAAGTGTTGCTGGCATGTGAAGAGTAGCTAGCACGGTTTCTTTGACACTGATGATTTACTGCCTTCGTGTGTTACTGGGGGATTTTTCCCTTGAGCATATCTTGCCTTCTTACTGGCTGACAAGCCCCCTGAAGGGAGAGATCTTATGTGAAACTTCTCCATTCCCTGCTGTGCCTCACCCATTCTGACTGACAGGAAATGAGGTATGTGATACTCCATCTTGAAGGCCCCTTCAAGACCCATCTCTTAGAAACTTCTGGAAAATTTCCAGCCCAGTGTTGTACACCCACCTCTTCCAAGGGGGCTCCCAGCTCTGGGAGTTTAACTCCTGCCCACAATACCCATTCCCTTGCCCTAGATGTTCAGAGTATGGAGGAGTATACACGACCCTGCACTGTCTACACCTGTGACCTCAGGATTGCTCTCTTGTTGCAAGCGTGAGAAGGGACTCATAGACTTACAACGTCAGAGGACACCATGGCCAACCTCGATCTTGTCTCTCCAGCTCCCACAAGAGCTGTGTGTCCTCATTGCGCCTAGGACAGCGCTGGTCTTAGTTCATGCTTAAAAACACTTGTTGAATCAATGAATGAACAAATCAAGAATGAATGAATGAATGACAGTCAGTATAGCAGAGTGTTAAGGGCCCAGGCTTTGAAGTTGGCCCCAGACTTGAATCAGTTCTACTACTTAGTCACTAAGAGACTGGATAAGTTACTTAACCTCACTGTGCCTCAGTTTCCCCATCTGTAGAAAGAGAATAGCAAAGGTACATACCTCATATGGTTATTATGAGAATAAAACAAGATACTATACGTATAGTGCTTAGCACATTTACAAATGAAACCCTGGTGGTGTAGTGGTTAAGTGCTACGGCTGCTAACCAAAAGGTTGGCAGTTCAAATCCACCAGGCACTCCTTGGAAACTCTCTGGGGCAGTTCTAATCTGTCCTGTAGGGTCGCTATGAGTTGGAATCAACTTGACAGCAGTGGGTTTGGTTTTTGTTTTGTTTTTTTATTGCTAATATATACTATAGAACAGTGCCTGATGCATTATGTTATTATTACCTATTGTTACTGTTATTATTTAGTAATAAATAAATTATTGGGGAGGGGGGCTGGAGACTACAGGCCTGGACTAATTCACTTTCTGGTCACGTTCCTTCACTGCCCAGTACCATTTCTGCCATGCAGGGGAAGGCCTAAGAGATGGGACTTGGGAATGAAAGAGCAAACACCTTGCTTGGAGCATTCCAAGTGGAAGGGCAGGGAGCTGTTCTGAGGGCCAGGGAGAAAAACAACACTTTGCTGACCTTTGCAGGCAGAGCTGACCCCTGAGCCCCCGAGGCAGCAGCAAAGAGCTTGGAGGTCATCTTCAGTGGGGCTGAGGGGCTGGCAGATGGGGTATAGGGATGGAAGAGCCCCTTTCCCCCGAGAGAAGGAGCTTTTCTCTGCACAAAAGTAAACGGCCCAGGAAGTGCCTGTCCACTGCCCACATGCACACCACTGTCACCGAGCTTCATCAGCACCTGACCCGACAACCAATCCACTGGGGTACCAAAATGGGTAGCACCAGTCCCAGGCCATCTAACCCCAGAGGAGGTGAACTTGACTCCCCCTACCTTCTCTGGGCTTCCAGGGGATCTGGGTATGCGGGAGCTGCTGCAGCCTGCCCTTGGCTGTCTTGGTTCAGGAGGGACATTAGCTAGGAGGCAGGGAAGAGCAGAGGAGTAGAGGCTGCTTGGGCCGATACACATTCCTTCTGCGGCCATTTGATGATGTTTCCTGGTCTAGAACCGCCAAGTCCAAGTCAAAGAACAGGGCAGGCATCCCCACCCTAGCTAGCTGCCATGCTCACCCGCTGCAGAAACTCCGTCCGCTCCTTCTTCTTGTTCCGGCATCGGGCCGCTGCAACTTTGTTCTTCTCCCGGCGCCTTTTCCTTCGTTCCTCTTCCTCATCTAGCTGTGAGGGCAAAGAGCCACTGATTAGACACTGAGGCAGGTCTAGAGCAGAGCTTCCCTTCTGACACATAGACAGACCAACAGACAGATGGACTATCTTCCCTTCCTAGCCCACATTCGGCCACTGAGCATGCCCACTGTCTGCCAGCCCACTGCCTCCTGACTAGTAAGATGGAAACGTTTCCTCCATCACCCAGAGGAGGGCATCCTGGGAGGGTCAGTGTCCCAGGAGGGCAGGGCTGCCCAGCTTGTGCCAAAGTTCAGGAGTCTACCCACACAGTGGGTGGCACCCCATGGGCAGTGGTGGCCTGTTCTCCTGTCCTGCCCAGCCCAAGCCCTCTGGGCACAATTATCAAGGCCAGTGGTCACCAGGCACTTCGTTTAAAAATGCCTTGAGCATGGGCATAGATTTCACATTCAGACCCTACTCCCTTTCCTCTTCCTGACCTCCCTTCGCCCTCCCTTCTTACCCGCTGTTGGAGTTTTTCAATCTCCACTGCTCCTCCACACCCAGTATCCCTCCTACTCCGTCCTTCCAAACACTCAGCTCTGTCTCCTTTTACTGCTGAACAGTGTCCCCAGCCTCCTCTCTGGGTTTGAATCCTTCCCCCTGCCTCTGCATGTTCTTCACCCAGGACACCACCTTCGAGAGAGATGGATGGTCCCACGGGCTCCCTAAAGTGCCCTGCATGGGACACAAGCCAAGGGGTCCTCTAAGTCTCCAGGCAGCTTTCTCCGAGGACACGTTAGGAAACTCACTACACGTGAAATCAGGCACATTAAATGGGAGGAGGAAACCCACTGTGCACCAAAACTGACTTTCTTTTTATAATTTATTTGTTGTTGTTGAAAATATACAACAGGACAGATACCAATCCAACCATTTCTCCATGTACAATTCTGTGACATTGATTATATTCCTCAAGTTCTGCAGCCATTCTCACCCTCCCCGTCCAAATTGTTCCTCTTCCATTAACATAAACACACTGCCCCTTAAGTTTCCTATCTGATCTTTCGAGTTGCTGTTGTCAGTTTGATCCCATATAGACAGTTCTTAAAAGAGCACAATGCTCAAGGCAGACGCCAACACTGATTTTAAATCAAAGCTGCGTTTATTGCTTCATTAACAATAACAAACATAGCTGCCCTTTAGTGCCTATTTTGCTAAATGCTTTCCACACACATCATTTAACCCTCACAATCAAAGTGTTATGATGAGCACGCTATTACTGTCCCATTTTACAGACGGTATGACTAAGGCTCAATGGTTCAATTTGCCCAAGGCCGTACAGCTAGCCATACAACTGGGAAATGGCAGAGCCAGGATTCAAATTCACTTCCTCCTGCTTCAACATTCCTGCTCCTGACCAGTGGACCACATGGCCCCAGGCCTCCTGCTGTGGTGCCTCGGGCCTGCCAACTCTCTCACTTCTTGAACCGGGGTGGGGTGGGGGGGTTGACTCTGCAGTCCAAGGACTGGAACAAGATCTCAGCCCAATGGGCTTTAGGCCAGGAAAACAAATAGCTTCTCTCCATGCGCTCCCAGCATGCTCTAGCAGCTCCGGACAGAGGGCCTGCGTGCAAGACCAGCACCCATGGCCATGGACACAGGACCTGGCAGGGAAGCCCTCTTCTCCTCCACCACCCCTGAGCTTCTCCCTGGCGCACTCCTACCCAACTGCGAGGCCGGCTGGAGAGAAGCCTTTCCAACACCCCCACGCCCAAGCACCACCCAGCTCCTTGGCCTCCTTTGAAACTGAACCAGATGTGACAGCTCCTCTGGCTGACCCGCATCTGGGAAAATAGAAACCTGGACAACATTGATTCCGCCCAACCTCAGCCTCACCCCCAACAAGGCCGAGGTAACCGTAAGGACAGGCAGAGGGAAGGAACTGGAGGAAGTGGCTGGCAGTGCAATCGCCCCTCGGCCAAGGGGGTTTGCCCACAAACTGCCAAGGTGATGTGTGCAACCTGGGCGCTGCTTGGCTCTCAGGGCCCCAACCACCTCCCGCTGAGCAAGCCCAGGGCTTCTGGTAGAGCTGCCCTCTCCTAGGAGACACAGCCTCTTTCCTCTAGGACCTAGTTCCCCACCCTACCCCTGCACAGGGCCTCATCCTACTAAGTCCAGAGCAGACGAAAGCAGCTGTAGCATTGAATGCAAAGAAGCTCAAAGCTGGAAGGAAGTTCAAGAGATGAACTGGGCCAGGCTGACGCCCACATCAGGGCCTGGCTTCCCCACCCTCCCTAGCCTCTTCATTCCCCTCTTCCATCACCGACTCCAAACTTCTCCTCCTTCTCAAAGCTGAAATGCCCTTCCTTTCCAAGTTGGTAAACTCTTACTCAACCTTCAAGAGCAAATGTCACCTCCTCTGAGAAGCCTCCTTTGAATCCCCAGATAGAATGAGCTGCTTTGTCTGTATTACAACAGCACTTTGAAGACCTCTCTGTTAGAATCTGTCTCACATCCTGCCACAATTCTGTTTATGAAGGTACCTGTCTTCCCTGCTAGTCTGGAGAATGGGGAACCTGAGCATGCCCAGCACCTGGCACAGAACATGGCACTTAGTAGGGACTCAACAGGTGTTAGTGGGATGAATGAATGAACAAGGACATCCAGAGAAAGATGCCACAGGCCTGGATTCTTTTTTTTTTTTTTTTTTTTTCCCCCTTTTTTAAACTGTGATTTAGGTGAAAGTCTAAAGAGCAAATCAGTTTCTCATTAAACAGTTAATACACAAATTGTTTTGTGACATTGGTTGCCACCTCCACGATATGTCAACACTCTCCCCTTCTCTACCACAGGTTCCCTGTTTCTGAGGGTTGGATTCTTTAAGCATAAAAGCTATTTATGGCCCGTGTTTGCATATGCCTGACCCTTTCCCCAGCACTCCTAAGGAGCCTTCTCTGCCAGGGATGGCCACTTTTGTCTGTCCATAGCAAAGCTTGGGAATTGGGTCCTGCCATCCCCAGAAGCACAGTGGCCATTATCACCTAGTTTCACTAGCACCCATCCTAAGCAACCAAACCACCAGGGTGCCAAAACAGGTAGTACCCATCTTAGGCCATCTGGGTCAATCAGCACCAAGGGTCTAACCTCTGCAAAGGAGAACTTGGCTTAGATTCTAGGTTCTGAGGCACAGGTCCCAGACGCTGTGGCAGGTCTGCATGAATCCTAAGCAGGCCCTGAAACAATCTTGGGGCATATTTCATCCGAAAGTCCCCAGGTCCACAGCCACCACCAGCTCCCAAGACCATCCCCAGGCCTTCCCTGAATCCACACCTCACCGTGGATAACATCTCCCAATAAGCCAAAAAATGTCCCAGAGATCCCCTGACAACATCCTCCCCACTGGAACTGCAGAGCTTCACAGTAATGAGGATCAAATCACCCCTAAGTCCTCTTGGTGCTATTTAAGAGCTGTCTTCTGATCCTGCCCAGAGATGCTGTAGAAAATAGTTGTTGAGGTCCTACCAGAAGTAAAACAGGAGCTCGGCCGTACCCCTCAGCCTTCTCCATCCCCCATGAGCTAAACCCAGTGCCTTTCATCTGTGCCTGGTGTGATCTAAACCACCGACTTGGACTCTTTGGAGCCTCTCCCCAGGCCCCCTTCAGGCTCTTCTTTTGTTCCCAAAGTCCTGCCTTCTCCTTCTTGATGCTTCTTGAATTCTCTAAAGCATTTGGCCATGAGTGAGTGAGACAGCAGAGTGTTTTCAGCACATACGCTCAGACGTCTAAAACCGGAACCCAAATGGGAGATGATGATTTTTCCTGCAGACACAGCTGGAAGAATCAGGATGTTTGAGGAGGATGCAGCTTGATGATCAATACACTCCAAGAACAGTGAGGTAGGGGCTGAGGGGATGGGAGGGGAGCATCTTTCCTTGTTCTGAAACTGAGTTCTGGTTCTGTTTTTCCCAAATTCCCAGGAAGGCCCGAGGGCACCGCTGTCTGTTCTGGCAATGAGGGGAGCCCCGGTGCTGTCCTTCACATTGAGGGACAGGCTTGGGGACTCATGACCAAGACGCTGATGTTATTCATTCCCTCCTCACCCCAGCCCCTCCTCAGTGAGTTTGTTCCCCAGCCCCTGCTGACAGGGCAGGGGGACCCCAGCCCCTGGCCTCAGCTGACTGGGCAAGGTGTGAATGGCTGACCCCTGCCAGGCTATATTCGCCCTCCTGGAAATTTGAAATTGGACTCAGAGTGCTGGACTGGGGCAGGCAGGGATGGGCAGCCAACTTCAGCCATGTGCCCAAAGAGAGAAAGATGGGGCATATGGAGATGCACAGAGACCAGAGATCATGTGACAAAGAGAAAGCGATATTCAGCCATAGCAAAGGAATCAGAGAGACCAAGAGACAAAGGGGTGACTGAGAGAAAAGCAGGGCCAGGGCCAGGACCAGGGTGAGGCAAGGGAGGTGCCCAGGCACGCATTTAAGGAGGAACTCATTCTTAGGCTAGTTCAAGTACAGAGAAACCCCTAAGAGTGAGAGTCTCCTTAAAGGATCCTGGGTAATGCAGTCCATAGAGCTTGGCCTCCTGGGACACAGGGCAGGGTAGGGTGGAAATGGATCTGATAGGCAAACGAGAACATGCCGTGTGGTGCACGGGCCTATCTATGTGCCCCACTCAAGCCCATCCACAGCAGTAGCCCTGTCGAGCTGGCAGGTAGGAGGCAATGATAGCAACAGTCGAGAAATTCTTACAAGGATCTTAAAGGTTGTGCCCTGGACCCCTTGCCTGCCTTATCCTAGTGCCAGACCCACTCTGAAAGGGAGAGCTACAGATAAAGACAAAGACAGGGAGGACAAGAGAGAGTGAGGGAGACAGAGAGCAGGGCAGAGAACACAGAGAGACAAAGATGCAGAGAGACAGAAAAAGAGGCACAGCCACAGTGAGAAGCACATGGGACCATGGACCAAGGTTGGACAAGGTGGACAGACAAGAAAGCACACAAAGAGGAGGAAACTATCTTCGTCCTCCTGACCCCATCCTTGGTGAGG